GCGTTTCTGAATTTCCTTTTATAGTTTTTTGTCCTATTTTTCCCCATTTTAATGCTCTCATCAACATGGAATCATGAATCAGTTTTCTATGTGCAAAATGCAAATATTTACTGAAATAACAATTTCGATTTTCCATGAACATTTTTCCCTTGGAGCAGTTATTCACACATAATCTCTCACATAATATTAGTGTCCATCAACAACAGTGAAAAAAATATTTTGTCACACAACAGCTGCTTTAACAGCTCTTTTTATGGAATCAAAACAGAGCAATATAACAATATAAAGTGCACATCTAAGGTAAACTAGTACTCAGCCTATCGTGGATTTATGCTATGGTTGCATACTTAGTTTTTCTCAAGTTTTCTTTGAACACAGCAGTCAGGCTATGTTGATTCTGTTGGTCCTTAGACATCATTTCGGATGACTACACTTGGTTCGATGACAACACTGGAGACGTTTTATTTTCAGTGTGTTCGCTAGGTCGCTACCACTGCACCGCTGAGCTCTCGGGTTGCCTGAGTGCACCGTCGCTGTCAGACGAACACAGAGAAGCTCCACCCGCTTTATTTATATGGCGACGGAACACTGTAACCTTCCACACGAAATAGTTCCAAACAAGTAACAATCGCGTCAGTTTCAGCTTGAGTCGAGCTGTGGACAATGTTGACAGGCTTGCATGCAGTAGCCATACATTTAGCTATGGCTTCAGCAAATTTGTTCTTCGTCGTGTTATCCATTTTCTTCGCTTTGAAATTATCCATAGCTGTCTGTCTGAGACGAGGGGGCGGAGTCCTCACGTCAGTTGTGTGCTTGGCCATTCAGTGGTATTTCAGACTCGACGTGCTACGATGATAGCTCAGTTTACGACTGCAAAACATACAGGTAACTTTGGTCTTGTCAGTGGAATAATCTGGCAACTTTTTAAAAGTAAACTTTCCATTCATAAACTCTTAAAGTATCCGTTTTCAGTGTCTCGCCTGCCATCGCTTGCAAAACAAAGGTGCGTGGACATGTGCAGTGCGCTTGTTGTTTTGTTTCTGATTTATTTATAGAGCAACGTAACATCCGCTGTGACGTCTGCCGCGTTAATCTCGCGAGAAAAAAATTAAGGCATTAATTGAGAACTGTCTTATGCAGTGGAAACGTATTTCATTACACCAACAAATGGGTTGAGCTTTAGATGCGACCAACAGCATGGGCCCGGTGACCTTCGGGAATTTTGAGAAAATACGTACGATATGTGAATTTTCCTGACTACGTTTCGGCACATGACGCCCCATCGACGAAAACTTTTCGGCGCATGGCGGTCGCACGCCGCACGCCACGGCCGCTCCCCAACAACCAAATTGTCCCAATTATACTTGGGAGTTTTGAATAAATTTGTTTTTGCCTAGCTCATAGTAATCATTTGTTTGAGTTGAAACAACACAAAACATCAAGACTTGCATGCCTTTTCAAATAAATTAGCATTGCCCATGCAAAGCACAACCCAAAACCTAGTTTCGGCCCATTTTGGCAGAGTGGAATCGACTGATCAGATCTGATGCTGCGGGAGACACAGTTTTGCTCCAGTTTCCATGAAATAGTAACGCATTACCTTTGCTTATCGCTTGCTTTAAAAAGTAACTTCGTTGGAGAACAAGTTACTTTAGTTCTTAAGTTCTATTCAGCAGCTGCCAAACACCCTGATGAAAATGACACTCGGTTGTCCCACTTAATTGATGTATTTTTAACAGTGATATTCAAGAACAGTTTGCGTTTTAAAAAATAAAGACCACCACCTTTTTAACGTCTTCTAAGTATTTTAGTTTAACAATTAATGAGTCTCCTCAGGATTTCGCTTACTTCTTGCTTAAAATAAACAGTCGTCCTAGACTTTCTTTAAAAATAAGATTTTGAATAATTTCTAAAATAAAGGCAGTTTTATTTACTCAACATATTTAACTATTAATGTTGTGATGGAAAAACTCAACATTTATGATTTAGATTGTTTCTAAATAAAATAATTAAAGTTGAGGCTCTCCTGCAGTCACAAAATCTTGTGTGACTGTGATTGCACATGGCCCTTTGATCTGTATTTATTTATTTATTTATTTATTTTTATGCACTATTATCAAAGCTCTGTTGATAACTGTGTCGGCTGAACAGTGCGGAGCAAATCTTATTATTTTTGTTTTGAGCTGGCACAAACTCAAAACAGTGTCAGTTTTTCCCACTTGAAAGCGCAAATTTCTCTCCTTCCTCTTGCTGTTTATGGGGGACGTGAGACAACGCGCTGAAAATCATGTTGTCACTCCCCCCAGACGTGAATATTAATTCGAATACTCCCACAATGCATTTTACGATGATCAATACCAGAGTTTCCGTTTCCAATGTTAGGAATCAGGTGTCCACCTGTATTTTGCCAGCCATAAATTATTCATTTTTAATCAAATGCGTGCGCGAGAGCGGCTCCGTGGCTGAGAAGTGTGTGCTGTTTAATTCTTGCTGTCGATTTTGCACCCGACAAGATTTCGCAGGTCATCCACTGCGACAGCTTGGAATGACAGTAAGAGCCTATTCGCTCGGAAACATTAGTGTCCTTCATAGCAAAAGGCACATGCATTCTACAAAGTAACTTCTTGGGAGGGATGAATTGTAACTTAAGGCTGATTTCTGGAGTGGATAAATAATTGAGTTAGATTCATCCCGACTCTAAAATGACATTATAGAATAACCTTGGTAATGTACATTGAACAAGCTGCAACAAGTTAACTAAACTTTTACAAGTTAAGTTGATTCAGGGTTTACATGTGCTGATCATGTTTTACAGTGTATTGAACAAGTTACATCTGTGGTAGGCGAATTATTGTCATTACTTGTTACTCTACTTAGCTAGGGTTACGTGAGTGTGTTGTTCATTTTCCTGACTTTTAAGTTGTCCTGTAAGTTGTTTCTGCAGTGTGACTGGTCTCAACACAGTCGCTTTGTTTATTCAGCTGGAGTTTTGATTCTACAGAACCAAATGCCGCACACATAGACCTTTGGTAAGCTTCATCGTTGATCACTTTTACACTTAACACTGAAGTCAGCAGATAGCAGGGGCCCATAACAAAGCCACTGCTGGTTTCAAGCCCTGGTGAAAATGGCAGGGTTGTGTCAGGAAGAAAATCATGCTAAGCAAATCATGCGAGTGACTTGCTTTAGCAACCCCTGATGAGGCAGAAAATCACAACAGTAACAGCTGAGTTACGATGACTTACTAAATGCCTTGGAGATTTCATAGGGTACTGTTACTGTGTTTCCAATTTTGGGCCATTTACAGCCTGCGCTGGTGCAAGGAACAGCATTCCTTGCAATACCGTCTTCAACGCTAGTGTGAACCAGAATATCCCCATGTCTTAGGCGGGAGGCTATAGAATCACAGACAGAGAATACACAAACAGTGTTATTTGAACAGTGTCTCAAAATCAGTTAATAGGTCAATATTTCAACAACATGTCTACAATATTCAGTTGACCACTGAGGAATAAAATATTACTCGGTCTGACACGGGTGTATAACCTATACCAGTGGTTGTTGCAGGTTGGGTCCAGGGACCAACAGTGTATTTTGACAATGCAATTTGACAATAAAGTTGAATTCAATTCAGTTCAATGTACACCCCTATTTATAGTTTGTTGAGGATGTTGCAACCTAAGTACTATCATGTTTCATTAAAGGCAACCCAGTAAAATTCAAGTGAATTAATTTCAATCTTTATCCGTCATCCCATGATGCGCACTGCTTCCACCAACAACAGGGCTACGGACAGAGAGCACAGTCAGTATTGCCAATATTGGGATTTTTAGCAACAACTTTTAGCAACAATTTACAACTTTAAATCCTGCTAAGAATGTTCAACTTTGCCAAGAATATGGTGCCCAATTATATGTTGTACAAGCAATATGTGCGTGTGTGTATATATATATATATATATATATATGGTGGCTGGATAGCTCAGTTGGTAAGGCACCGGTTTGGTGTACAGGAAACTGGGGCTCGATCCCCGCTTGGGGCAATATGTGCACATAACATCATCCAGTGTGGGTCCTTGAGCAAGACCCTTCACGCTCATGAGAGACAATAAAATAAATGACATTGCCGGCTCAGATGTCACCCGGCCAAACAAGATGTGTGCTGGGGAACCAAAGCACTTTGATGAAAAATGGGCGACTGGAACGAAGCGGAGATGGGCGAGATGCGATAACATGGCTCTGTTGAAATGCTACTACTCAAGCAACCCTAGTCAGAGTCAGGTTACATGCAGAGAATGTGGGCTGAATGGTTACCTCGAAACCCAGTCACGGTTGACCACGAAACAACTAGATGCTCAGTGTTCCAACATCCACAAACGGCAATTGCTATCACAACTTGAGGGACAACACAGATTCCATGGTGAAGGGCCCCAGGCTGCCAGATCAGAGGAGGAGGTTATACCAGAGATTGGGAGGCAAGCCCCAATGAATGCAGATGATGAGCTTGGGAGGATCATGGCGAGAATGAACTCAGCAACCTCGAAAACGATAACAACGGATATGTGAAGCACCACCTGAAAGTCTCATGGTAACTGTGAATGCAACACTGAGGGCGATCCGTACCGTAACGATCACAGAAACCAATGAGTTCAGATACGCTTCAGCATCAGTGATCCTAGAGATGCTTGGCTATAAAAGCAATCATGGGAGCCATGAGATGCGTTACCCACCATGGAAAAGACGGCTAAGATCAAGGCAGCTCGTAAAGATGTGAGTCAATTGACGGAGACCCAGAGAGGTGTGATGAAAAGGCTGATAACCGAGAGATGCATCCAGATGACCATCCCGAAGCACTCGAAACTGACAAACAAAGGCTCCAAGCCTTGTCCAGTCGCCTAGGACAAGCAGTACACGAAAGATGAATGAACAGGCTGTTCGCAACACAACCTGCGAAAATCGGTGGCAGGGTTCTAACAGCAGAGCAGACCCACCAAGACTGGAAACTGAAAGGTACTGGAAAGGCATATGGGAGAAGGAGGTTGTACATGGTGGTGCACAATGGCTAGTGACTCTGAGAGCAACCTCCCATAACAGTGGCAGACATACAGGAAAGAGTCTCAGACATGAAAAACTGGACAGCACCAGGCCCAGACATGGTCCACACCTACTGGCTAAAGAAACTCACAGCACTCCATGAGCGCCTAGCAGCACAAGTGAACGAGTTGCTGAGGGATGGGACTCACCCAGGATGGCTAACCGAAGGGCGAACAATCCTGATCATGAAGGATCCCTCAAAAGGTGCAGTCCCATCCATCTATCGGTCAATAACCTGTCTCTCCACAACATAGACAAGACTGCAGGTCCCGACATACCAACCTGTGCACAGCCTGGATTGATTACATATATGTGCCGAGATGCCACATACATGGATCACTGAATGCTTGGAGTTGTATAAGGTGAACAGGACCCTAAGAGCCTTCGTTGCAAACTCGATAAGAATGTGGAAAACCACACTTGAAGCCAATGGCAAGCCACTTACCCAAGTGTCCATCAAATGTGGCATATACCAAGATGATGCATTCTCCCCACTGCTGTTCTGCATAGGACTGAACCCCCTAAGTCAAGTAATTGCAAAGACTGTCTATGGATACTGCCTCAGAAATGGAGCTACGATTAGTCATCTCCTCTACATGATCAGGTACCCTGCAGGAATAATAAGGTGGACGAAGGAAGAGATTCACACCATGGATGTTAAGACCTGAAAGCTCCTAACCATGCATGGAGGTTTCCTGAGACTGTACGCAAGCCGTAAGGAAGGAGGCCGGGGACGAGTGAGGTTGAGAGCCACTGTCCAGGATGAAACATCCAAGCTCCATGAATACATCAAGGAGAAGGCTCCAACGGATGATGTACTGAGAGAATGTCTCAGACAATGGGGAACACAGGATGAGGTGCTGGAAGAGGGACCATCATGGGAGAACAAGCCCCTACACGGGAATGTACCACAGGACCATAACTGAAGTGGCTGATCTCAAGAAGTCCTATCAGTGGCTAGAGAGGGCTGGCCTGAAGGACAGCACAGAGGCACTCATCCTGGCTGCTCAGGAGCAGGCCCTGAGCACCAGAGCCATTGAGGCCCAGATATACCACACCAGACAAGACCCAAGGTGTAGGTTGTGCAAAGAGGCACCTGAGACGATCCAACACATAACTGCAGGGTATAAGATGCTGGCAGGGAAAGCCTACAGGGAACGCCATAACCAGGTGGCTGGCATAGTCTACCGAAACATCTGTGC